CACTGGTATATAACTGTAATGTTCAGGACTCATTCAGTTTCACCAATTGTCGCATTAAAGTATTTTCATAACAAAAGGGTCTAGTTTAGAATCCTGTGTTTGTATTTAGTTGTCATAGCTCTTTAATCTCTTTCAGTCTGGAAGACTTTCCTAGTCTTTGGCTGATTCTTATAACTTTGACAGTCTTGAAGATTACAGACCATTATTTTGTAGAATGTTCCTTAGTTTCTGTTTGTACAATGTTTCCTCATGGTTAGATTCAGTTTATTTATCACAGAAGTAATGCCATATTCTTCTTATTGAATCCTATCAGATAGCTAATGGTTTCAATTTGTTTTATTATTGGTGATGTTCACTCTGATAATTTGACTAAGGAAGTATCTGACAAATTTCTCCACTGTAAGGTTACTCTTTTCTCCTTTGTAATCAGCGTATTTTGTGGAGAGGCACTTTGAAACTATGTAAATATGTCATTTCTCACCAAACTTTTAATAGATTTATTTATATCAATATAGGCTCATAGTTTCTTGTTTTGTACAATGGATTAAAATATTTGACTATCATTTATTTTTATCAAATTATTCTTGGTTTGGCCAGTGGGAGTCCATTCAAGCTGGCTGTTGGGTATTTTTGACATGTCTTCATCATTCACTTAGGATTTTTCTGCTTTCAGATAAAAATAAAATGTACCAGGATCACCTCGTACTTTACCTGATCTTGCCCCGTAATAAACCATTTCTCCATGTTGCCCTGGTTCCTTTTAGTAGAAAAAAAGGTATATAGAAACCAAGGTCTGAGTGCTATTACAATTATTACTGTTGGAGTGTCATTGTTCTCAGACCCCCTCAGTGGACAGAGCTAGGAAATATATGTATATATTTACATACATATACACATACACACATATACTTACAGTTACATATATTTTTATATCAATCTATGTATGTATATTGAAAACCATTAATTTGCACTACTGCAAATTACAATCCCAAACTACAAGGATTATTTTAGTTTATTTCTTCTCTTTAGTACTTCTCTTTCAATGAGAAATCTGACTTTCATTATCACTAAGACGTTGACTTATTTCATAAAACACCCTGTTACGTAACCAGTCCACCATTCTGCTGCCCCCTCTTTCCTTATGTGGATGTCCTCCTTTTCCTGCTTGGATTCTGACACTTTCAGCAGGGTTGCCCTTTTGCAGGGTCACCCTCCTCACCTTACTTAGTTTCTGACTCCCCACAGTAGACTGCCCTCCCTTACATGGGGAAATCCTCTTTTCTCCATTCAGGCCTGTTATTCTGTTCTGGAATGCTCTAGACACAACCCCCTCACCACTTCCTCACATACCCCTACCTTATACTACCTAACCTAATGGACTTCAGGGCTGAACTGTTTAAGAAGAGGAAGGGGTTAAATGTTGTAAACATAGTATTTGGGGGACTTTATTCCCAACTAAAATAATTCAATAAATGGAAAATTAATAGGAAAATAAGATTTTTCTCTAAAGCAGTGTGCTTTCAGTCAGCTTTTCTTATAATTTTCCATAAAGTGAAGGATAACTATAATAGGAAAACATTTGTATTTTATTCTTGAAGTTGCCTTCTATAGTTAATGCATTAGCATTAGTATAGTTTTGTTCTGATATTAGAGGTATGCCTATATGTGATATTAACCAATTTTTAAATAATTAAAAATATTAAATATAGCATATATAAAAATACTGCATGTCAATCCAATTATATTATTTTCAGATTCATCTATGTGTCAGAAATGCAGCTATGTGGGAGTTTATTAGTTGGGCAGTGCTCTAGAGCTATTGATAAAATACAGCTGTGGACTATAATTGAGAAAGAATAAATGCAGAGGTGTGTGTGAATAACGGTGGCCTGAAATTATTTGGTAAATTTGCTCTAGATATAGTTTTATCTTTGGCTAATGGTAGTAGATAATAAATTCAGGATCAGAGTAATATATTGTCTTCTGAATTTTGTCTTTTCATTTTTTCCTCTTATTTTTCTAGATGACCTCAAAACATTTTCCTTTGCTTTTGTGCTGAATGCCTTAAAAAGTAACTCTGATCTCATCCAGGCTCGTGTCTTTAAAATGGGATCTACATGTAGAAGACTTCTAAATGTTTATCTCCTAACCCCTAATCCATCCTACATTAACTATTTGCTGTCTCTGCTTGGATATCTAAAAGACACCTCAAACTTGACGTGGTTAAAACTAAGTTTCTAAAGTCCTGCCTCCTGAAAACTGGCTTATTTAATCTTTTCCATCCTTATTAATGACAACTCTCTTTTTCCAGTTACTTTTTTTTTTTGGCTCTCCCTCAGAGTGTATCTGCTTTCCAACCACTTCTTATTTCATCCACTACTAACATCCTAGTCCTCGTTCATCATCCTCTTCTTTCATCTGGATTATTACAGTAGCTTATTAAGTGATTTTTCTTGCCACAACTTCTGTTCCCTTCTAATGTGAATGTAATAGAGTGAGTCTTTAAAAAGCTAAGTCAGGGCCTGGCGCGGTGGCTCGTGCCTCTAATCCTAGCACTTTGGGAGGCTGAGGTGGGCAGATCACGAGATCAAGAGATCAAGACCATCCTGGCTAACATGGTGAAACCCCGTCTCTACTAATAATATAAAAAGTACCCAGGCATGGTGGCATGCACCTGTAGTCCCAGCTACTTGGGAGGCTGAGGCAGGAGAATTGCTTGAACCCGGGAGGCAGAGGTTGCAGTGAACTGAGATCATGCCACTGCATTCCAGCTTGGCGACAGAGCAAGACTCCGTCTCCAAAAAAAAAAAAGGCTAAGTCAGGCTTTGTCACATTTGTCCTCAGAACTCTGTAGTGGCTTTCCATCTCATTAGTTATAAAAACCAAATCTGTATCACACATAACGAGGCCTACAATGATTTGGGTCCCCTTGCCTTCCCTTGCCCCTCTCTGAACTCTGCTGTTCTTCACCTTGCTTACTCCCTTCCAGCCACATGGACTTCCTTGCTATTCTTTGAACACACTAGACCTTATTCCACGTTAGAGAACCTGCTGAAATATTCTTCCTTACTTCTATCCAGGTCTTTACTCAGAATTTGCTATCTCAGAAAGGAGTTTCCTGACCATCCTGTGTAATCGTCTTCCCTCATTTATTGTTTTTCTTTAACACCTATCAATATCCAATATACCATATGTTTTAGCTTATATTGCTTTTTCTCTTGCCCAGAATTTAAGCTGGGCAGGATTTTTTCTTTTGGTCCAGTGTTGTACCCCCAGTGTCTATATCAATGCTTTACTTACAATAAGCATTCAACATTTATGGAAGAAATGAATCATATACAACCCATCCATTAATATAAAATAAAATAAAATATAATAAAAATCAGGTCATTCATGGCAGTAGGCTAAAAAATTTATTTCGTAGGAAATGTGTAGTAATTATTGTACTTTTGCTTAAAATTTTAAAAATGTAAGTAGGATTTAAGAAGATAAGCACTCATATATGACTGGTTGGCGTTTAACTTGGTCAATCCTCTAGAAGACTATGTAACAATTTTTTTTTTTTTTTTTTTTTTTTGACAGAGTCTCATTCTGTCACTCAGGCTGGAGTGCAGTGGTGCGGTTTCAATTCACTGCAACCTCCATCCCCCTGGGCTCAAGCAATCATCCTGGCCTCAGCCTCCCGAGTAACTGGGATTACAGGCACACACCATCATACCCAGCTTAGTTTTGTTTGTTTTCAGACTTTCACCATGTTACCCAGGTTGGTTTTGAACTCCTGGGCTCAAGCAATCCACCCACCTCAGCCTCCTAAAGTGCTGGAATTACAGACATGAGACCCTGCGCTGGCTTATGTAACGGTTTTTAAAAACCTATAAAAATTAACAAATCTTAGAAATTCTGCTTCTTGGAACTTATCCTAATAAAAAGAATAACTATAAAAGTCTAGATATAAGCATGTTTATTTCAGAATATTTCATAATAGTAAAAAACTCAATTCAGTAAACCTGTAAATATGAGTGATTAGGTAAGCTATGGTAAAGTTAAAAAATGGAATACTGTGTAGCCATTAAAAAGTTACATTGTACATTAATTTGTCACAGAAATGTGTTTATTATATATTAAGTAAAGTAGGTTACAAAATAGATATTTATTATCACTTTCCACTGGCTCTGTTTTAAAGTATAAATATATGTTTTTAAAAAACTGGTAGAGTGGGGCATGGTGGCTTACACCTGTAATCTCAGCACTTTAGGAGGGCAAGGCTAGAGGATCTCTTGAGCCCAGGAGTTCAAGATCAGCTTGGGCAACATAGTGGGACCCTGTCTCTATAAAAATTTTTAAAAATTAGCCAGGTGTGGTGGCATGTTCCTATAGTCCACAGCTACTTATGAGGCTGAGGTAGCAGGAGGATTGCTTGAGCCTAGGAGGTTGAGGCTGCAGTGAGCTGTGATCATCCCAGTGCACTCCAGCCTAGGTAATACAGTGTGACCCTATCTTAAAAACAAACAAACGAATCAAACAAACAAAAACTAGTAGTACCAAAGTGTTAATGACTGTTATCTGTGGATCATGAGATGATTTGTTTGTTTAAAACAGTTGTTATGCTTGTTTTTTTTTATACTTTTCCTCAGGGAAGAGCTAATATGAAGTAACAAACTCCCCTAGACTGCTCTCTCTATCTCTCTTGCTTTATTTTTACCTTAGTGGTTATCACTCTCTAACATGCATACATTTTACTTATATTTGTCGGTCCTATCACCACCCCCCACTAGAAAGTAAGTTTCTTAAAGGTAAGGACTTCGTTTTGTTCACTGCTATATTCCAGGAGTCTAGGAAAGTATCTAGCATATAGTAGGTGCCATAAATGTGTTGAATAAATCAATAATGGTACACAGAAGATAAATGCCACATTTTATAGCATGTAATTTTGATACCAGAGGAATTTGTTGTAGATAATTAAAGTATTTTAATGAGATTTTCCCCCCTTATTTTTCAAGGTTTCTAAATACTCTTTACAGAAGAAAGTGAGTGAAATGGTAAGGAAATTACAAAACATATTTCCCCCCCATCTGGATTAGTACTTAGGGGGATTAGTATTTTTGTGAATAAAATGTGACATATATAGTGAAAAAATTAATTGTTGAAACTGGATATTACTGTCCCCAGTAATATTAAAGGGGATATTTGCAATTTTGCGTGTTGCATACATGAATTATTTCACAAATTTATTTCTAGATTACATATTACTTATACAGGTTGAGCATCCCAAATCTGAAAAAATTTGAAATGCTTCAAAATTGGAAACTTTTTGAGCGTCAACATGATGCTCAAAGAAAATGCTCATTGGAGTATTTTGGACTTCAGATTTTTGCATTTGAGATGCTCAACCCATAGGTATAATGCAAATATTCCAAAATCCAAAAATATCCCAAATATGAGATACTTCTGGTCCCAGCATTTCTGATTAGAGATATTCAACCTGTATATTTAAAATAAATTTTACACAGTTCCCAAATTATTGTTAGGGTCTTATAGTGAAAACAAACAACAAAACTCTAAAACCTCTTATTTTAATGGTATCTCTTCTAGATATTTATGTAAACATGTAATTATTAATTATAGCCTGAAAAGAACAAAATATATGAAGCAGTATTTGGGATATAATATTTATCCCTTATCAGTCTACACTTGGGATATGGTACTGATCCTACATTGTTCAGCAAGTATTTATTTGCTGTGCATTCCTCTTTTATAGTCTATTAAAAAATGAATGTTTTTGCTTTTACAGCATAACGCTTTAGGGAATATTTACTTTGATATTTTTCCCTTCTAGCCCTATTTTATTCAGAAGGATTTTCTTTTCTGTGTTTTTGGTTGACCAAAATTTTCCTATATCCACTTAAATTGTCAAAGGGCTTTTTGGGTGGGGTTATGCTATTCAGTCTTCATTTTTTGGAGCAGACTTTAAAGCAAGTAAAATTAATTTTTGAGTAAGGCTTATATATTATATATATGAGAAGTAAGAAATGAACTATCACCCCTTCTGACATTACATACAAAAACATAAAGTATTTTGCTTCTTGAAATTGTTTGGTGTGTTAGAAAATAAAAGAGCCATAGAGAGATTGCTAAGCTTGATTGAATAAAAGATGTGAAAATTCTGTTGCTGTTCAACTGGAAAGAATAAAAATAATGTTGTCAGACTATTTTAAACCATGAGTTTAATTAAGAAGCTGAAAAACTAGATTCTGGTTTAGCTTTAAGTACCATGACATTTGTACTGAAAGTCATCTTCAACGCTACAGTGGTTTTACACAAAATATAGTGAAATTGAATAATGTGCCCTTTGACCTGGGAGATAAGGCTACAAGTTAAAGATCAAAGGCAACATAAAATGTGTTTTATTTTATTCCACTTTCAAATTTCATCAAACAGATACTTACGATCTTTAAAAAAAACATAAAAACATGTATATACTTATTCTAGTTTTTAGTCACTTCTAAGCTTTTTGTTATTGTGAATTACAACATTTATACCTACTAAAATGATATTTCAGTTATAGTCATAATATTTTTTTCTGACAGTTTAAAGCATTGCATCAATTTTAATTTTAAAAAATTTATATATTGATATATATTTAATATTTTATATTCATTCTGGCAGAACATTTATATTTTGGATTTAAAAGTTAGAAGTACTCCTTTTTCTAAGCATTCTTACATATATTCATTTTACGTTATTCCTGTTACATTATTATTATATAATTCAGATGACTTGTTCTTTATTCTAAGTGCTGTATAGTATTCAGTAATTCAGTTAATCTTATTTTATTCCAAGCAGTACATTATTCTTTTATGTTTTTGTTTCCATGGGCAAGACAGGAAGCAAGATAGCCACTAGTGTGAAGGCAGGACTATGGGGAGCAATAAAGTTAGGGTCCTAAAAGAAATAGCTTGAAAAGTAGTATTAAGAAAATGTCAAGTTTATGAGCTCCTATAGGTGAGTACTTAACTACTAGTAAGTTTCTCTGTCTTCTGTGATTCCGTAAGCTGATTATCTTTTAGAGGTAGTGATATGTTCTGAGATAAATTAACATAATCACAAATCAAACCATTTTTCCATCCTTTAAAAGTACCTCCCCTTTGAAAAAAAATCTCAATCATTACCAATAAAAAGGATGCAATAAAAACATGTGAGAGAGAAATCTTAGGACATTACATTTATCATCATTGTGATCTGGTCATTGATACAAATTTTTCCTGCTGTGTTTAGTGATTACTATATAGATGATCATGTTGGTTAATAATTGAATTTATAGGTGTCTGTGTTGTAAAACTGAATAGCTAATACAGCTTAATGAAGGAAGTAAACTTATCAAACCATTGTCATATTGTATTTCTCTTCTGTATATCATTTTCCTCTAAATAAAAGATTTACAAGAAAGATTTTTTTCCTTAGGAAATTAAAGCAATTTCAATATTTAAGGTTTTGATAGATTAAGAATAACCACATACTTTCTTTCAGAGTAGAATATTTTTAAACTGAAGACTTATCTGGAAGTAACTTCATGATCATAAATATTATGTATATATGTACACACATACATTAGCAGCATGACTTTAGGTTTTTAAAGTAATCTATGCCTCTTATTTGCAACTGAAAAGGTAAGGATATCTTAAGAAAGATGCCATAGGTTTTTGAAAATTGAGTTTTATAACTCCATTGATTTAGTTTGGGTTCATATTGAAGAAATTAGAAGATTAGTTACAAAATTGGAAATGAATATGTTAAATTTATTTTTTAATTGTTATCTTTTCCTCTAAAATTTACTCTTAACAAACTGATTGTTTTAAGGGAAACTAATTTTATCTCCAGAAGTTTTCAAATCAGTCGTCTTAAGTAAACAGAAAAAGGGGGAAATGTGAAGCTGTGCATTTTGTCAGTAAATACATTTCTAAAATGTTGTGCGTAAATATTTTTACATTATTCCCATTTTAAATGCTTCAAGGCTTTAAAGTAAGCTTTTAGACTACACACACATACAATTATGGATATGCTATTTTTCCTCTAATGTTGACTTTCATAGGTTAGATTTGTTTAAAACGAGGTGTACATGTGTTTAGAAAGCAATGAATGCTGACATTTTTTGTAGGCTGTCTTTGCATTTGATAGTAAAACTGTGTAAAAGAAAAAATAATTTGAATCGATTCATGCAGGTAAAAAGAACCAAACAATATGTACTTAACTATTTCTTAATCATCTCAATAAAATAGCCTTATAGTACATTAAAGTTTTAATAATAGTAAAAATCAATTATTTGTATTCTTTAAAATATTCTTACATCTCTAAAGTGTTATTACCAATTACTTTTTGTTATTGCTTTTCAGAGAATTTAAACTATTTGTTGATAGTCATGAAATTAGTGGCAAACTGGACAATGGACCTCTTTATCTCATTTTCAAAACTAAATCAGTGTAGTAAACTAGGTTCATATAGGCATATATGGGCTAATAAGCTGTAGGTACCCATGTGATTTAGAAGTCTTAATGGTATATATCATGGCCATTGAATATGCTACTGTGTTTGAAAATCAGAATTATGTCATGCAAACAAATATAATGAAACTGCAATTTTTGTCTCAAACAAAGGATGTTGGAATAGAGTATACCAGAAATTAATGTATACAAACCTCAATGCATGAAATCTCTTTGATCTTTGCTACATTTTTAGTTAACAGAACTGTTAACCTTTGTAGGCATTGACTACCTATTTTATTCATCACTTTTTAGCTGAAAGGTTAAGAAAGCTTTTGTGGGATGATGTATTATATAGTAGATAGTATTCTAAAGAAGGCTACATAAATATTGATTAGAATAAAAAATTCAAACTTCCTTGAATTGGCCAGGCATGGTGGCTCACGCCTGTAATCCTAGCACTTTGGGAAGCCAAGGCGGGTGGATTGCCTGAGTTCAGGAGTTCGAGACCAGCCTGGGCAACACGGTGAAACCCCGTCTCTACTAAAATACAAAAAATTAGCTGAGCATAGCGGCATGCGCCTGTAGTCCCAGCTACTCAGGAGGCTGAGGCAGGAGAATTGCCTGAACCCGGAGGCAGAGGTTGCAGTGAGCCGAGATCATGTCACAGCACTCCATGCTGGGCCACAGAGAGAGACTCCGTTTCCAAAAAAAATAAATAAATACATAAAAACTTCCTTGAATTGAAAAAATGCCGTTAACCTGGTTTTCAGTGAAATTGTGTTAGGTTTCTAGACATCTGCTGAGAGCTAATATAATTCTCTCAATCAAAAATTAAGGGGTATTTTAGAAGAAAGGAATATGGTTCATTATTGCTCACCATTACTGATAATAGTAACTACCCAGGTAGGCATAAGCTCTCCAGGACTAAGTACATTTATCAACTTGTTTGCATTTATAACTGCTGCAAAATTAAATCAAATAAGTAGTGAAAAGCCTGATGACATACATGAGAAACTTTCAACTGATATATCATAATTATTACCAATAATATTACCATTTTTACAATCATTTAAAAAATAGCTTTGAAAAAGTTAAGACTGTCATCAGACTTGCCAAGATAATATAGTTAGGTACAACTAAAATGGTAATGTGTGTTCTTCATGTATAAATATATATATGTGTGTGTATATGTGTGTGTGTGTGTGTGTGTGTGTGTGTGTGTGTGACGAAGCCTTGCTCTGTCGCCCGGGTTAGAGTGCAGTGGCGTGATCTCAGCTCACTGCAACCTGTGCCTCCTGGATTTAAGTGATTCTCCTGCCTCAGCCTCCCCAGTAGCTGGGATTACAGGTGTGCGGCACCATGCTTGGTTAATTTTTGTATTTTTAGTAGAGATGGGTTTCACCATGTTGGCCAGGCTGGTCTCGAACTCCTGACCTTGTGATCCACCCGCCTTGGCCTCCCAAAGTGCTGGGATTACAGGCATGAGCCACCGTACCTGGCCCTTCATGAATATTTTTAAAAGGCCATGCTTATTCTAAATAAAAGTTAATTAAAACTATTGATACTTTTATCAGTTAAGGAATAATAATAAATCATTTTATTGTGATATTTATATGATGGGCTCTGTTTTTTTGTTTTGTTTTTTTGAGATGGAGTCTTGCTCTGTTGCCCAGGCTGGAGTGCAGTGGCATAATCTTGGCTCACTGCAAGCTCCACCTCCCAGGTTCACGCCATTCTCCTGGCTCAGTCTCCCGAGTAGCTGGGACTACAGGCGCCCACCACCACATCGGCTAATTTTTTGTATTTTTAGTAGAGATGAGGTTTCACTGTGTTAGCCAGGATGGTCTCGATCTCCTGGCCTCTGCCCGCCTTGGCCTCCCAAAGTGCTGGGATTACAGGCGTGAGCCTCCACGCCCGGCCATGATGAACTCTGTTTTTTAGTGCTTTATGTATGTTAATTCATTTTATCCTCACAGCAACCCTATGAGTGAAATACTATTATAAACGTCATCCTAAAAATAGGGTAGATAATTTACCCAAGGTCACACTAAATTGCAGAAACAAGATTTAAACATAGGCAGACTAGCTTTTGACCACTATGCTCTACTACCTGTCCTTTGGTTTTTCTTTTCTTTTTCTTTTTTTTTTTTTTTTTTGAGATGGAGTCTCGCTCTGTCGCCCAGGCTGGAGTACAGTGGCACAATCTCAGCTCACTGCAATCTCTGCCTCCTGGGTTCAAGTGATTCTCCTGTCTCAGCCTCCTGAGTAGCTGGGATTACAGGTGCACGCCACCATGACTGGCACATTTTTGTATTTTTAGTGGAGACGGGATTTCACCATGTTGGTCAGGATGGTCACGAACTCCTGACCTTATGATCCACGCACCTTATCCTCCCAAAGTGCTCGGATTACAGGTGTGAGCCACTGTGTCCGGCCTGTACTTTGGTTTTAAGCAATAAGAAATGCCTCTGGTTAACTTAGGGGAGGCATTCACAATCAGCCAGAGAATAAAGAATTGTTTGAGAATGAACAGGGACTCAGAGTAATTCCAGAGTTTATGAGGCAGGATGTAGCAACCCACAACAGAGGTCTCGTATCAGTTTGGATAGGATCACTACTGAACTTCTTTAGTTTTATATAGTCTTTTTGTTCAACATTCAAATTCCAAGAAGGTAGCTATCAATTGGTTTAATTTGAGAACATGCCCTTCTCTTAATTAGGGAAGAATAGGACCCCTAAATTTTAGTCCTGTTGTAATGTGTAGTCCACGTTGTAATGAAGAAAAAGTATTTCAATACAGTAAATTGTGGTGCTGTTAGATAAGGGAAATGGATGCTGGTTAGGCAAAATCAAATTTTTACTATTAGAACCCCCTCTATAAGACAACAACGGTTCATTCAGAAAACAATTATTGAGTGCCAATGGATGGGCCTATACTGTTCTTTGTTTAGAACTGCTCATCATAGAAGGTGAAGCAGATGGGGAAAAAAATGAATGAAAGATGTGAAACCAATTAATGATTCTGCTAATGTCAAGTGAAGATAAAAAAACTTTTAACAAGTGTTATTGATTTTTATTAACATAATATTTATTTTTTAAGAGTTAAAAGTCATATTCCTAAGTATGGTAAGAGTAGTTCCTTTAGCTGAAAGCAGTGGAGGCCCATATAATATTATATAAGTAGGGTCTGATTTTTACCAATTATGTCTCCAGTTTAAGTAGATTATCTACTATCCTATGTTGCCTCCCTGTCACTGAGAGATATTATCCTTGTCATTTCTTTTTCTTTTTTAGAGATGAGGTCTTGCTTTGTCACCTGGGCTGGAGTTCAGTGGCCGAACATAGCTCACTGCAGCCTTAAACTCCTAGCCTCAAGCAATCCTCCCACCTCAACCTCCCAAGTAGCTAGGACTACAGACATGTGCCACCACGCCCAGCTAACTTTTATTTTTGTAGAGATGGGATCTTGCTATGTTGCCTAGGCTGGTCTCAAACTCCTGGCCTCAAGCATTCTTCCTGCCTCATCATTTCATTTCTTAATGCAGTGAGAAGGTACTATATTAATTAAAATCTATGTCAGAAAAATTACTTGAATTTTAGTAATGCACATTGAAATTATTCTAGCAAATTGAAAGGACAAAGAATCAAAACAGTGATCTAGATAGATCTTGATTATTCAAATGATTTAGAGAAAGAAAAAATATCTCCTAAAGTACTAAAAATATTGCTTTAATTTTCTCCTCACTTTTCTTAGTGTTAAGCTGATTAGCGTTTTTTATAAAAAGATTTTGAAAAAGAAATTGCAAACAAGGGAAACATAACATGAAGTGACTATTTTGCTATAGGAAAAATATGTTTGCTTTAGTTTTACACAGATTTAGAAATGTCTCCTAACAAATATTTCCTCCTTGCAGTTTACTCAGAGAGTACTTTTAAATGACATTTATTTATGTTATATTACTAACAGCAGTTGTTTACCACAATATATTTTTATATATTTGTTGTGTGTGTGTGTGTGTGTGTGTTATATGTATAACATTTAAAATTACTCCTCCAAATAGGAACAAAAAGTCCAGTTACATCTTCTGGCTAAAGAAGACTATCATAAGCAACTGAGTGAAATTGAGAAATACTATGCCACAATAACAGGTCAATTTGGATTGGTAAAAGAGAATCATGAAAAGTTAGAACAAAATGGTATGTGCTGTCTTATTTAAATATAGATATTCAGTAGAGAATGTTTGAATGGACTTATTTACTAGGAATACTTTGAATTTCTATGATAATACTGATAATAGTAAATGGCAGTTAATGACTGTTACCTAAATTTAATAGCGTATGTATTGCATTGTTACTGTTTTCCCTGTTTATCTTAATGATACTTTCTTTGAAATACACATTGAATATGATGCTTTCTTAAGTGTCTTTAATGTTGCAGTACGGGAAGCAATACAATCAAACAAAAGACTTTCAGCTTTAAATAAAAAACAAGAAGATGAAATATGCAGTTTAAAGAAGGTATGAGTGATATAGTTTCATACTAAGTAAAAATTGTAATGTGAAATAGTCTTATGGGCTATTACTAGAGGACAGTTGGGTAGAATTTTTTGGTAGGATAAATAAAATGTTTTCAATACAGATGCATAAATTTTGAATTATGATTCCAGTAAAGGTAATTAGTGCATTTGTTGTAATCCATTCAAAATATTATTTCTTTGACTTGTGACCAGTAGCATGCATTTTTATGGTGACATGAATACCTTATAAGGATTCATTGTATGTCATCCCTATTAGCACCATTCATTCAATATTTATTGAGTGACTTTTATATACTGGTTGCTATGTGGCACTAAGGATACAGCTATGAAGAAAATAAAACATGTTTCTACTTTTATGAAAGTTAGAGTCTGGTGGTGGAGTCAGACATAAAACAAATAATTACACAGACTAAGTAATATAAAACTTATAAATGAGCGGAAGAAAAAGTAAAAGGTATGATGACATCACAGGTGACTTTATTAGATTGGGGGTAAGAGGGTGGAGGAGGGAAGGGAGTATGTTTTGGGCAAGGGGAATAGCATGTGCAAAAGCCTTGAGACAGGAAAGAGTTTAGTATATTTGAGGAACTAAAAAACATCTGATATGGCTGGAGCATCATGAATGAAGCTCTGAATTGAGCATTTGTTTGTTGCTTACTGAGCTTCAGTATCCCTTTGCCTTCTTCCTAACCTTATCCAGATTTTTGTTTTGATGTTTCCAGCTTTAGAGCTGAGCCCCAAATTGGCAGGAGAGCACAAATATATTTCTTTCCTCTGACCATAGGCATTGGTTCAGGAATGGATAAATGACTTTAGCTAGCTTCTGGTTATAAACTAGGAAGAACGTAACCTCTACCGTGGCTGGCAGTCAGCCTACAACCATGAGAAAAGCCAACAAATAAGAACCTGACAATGTGGATGCCAGATTGGTATGACATAAAGAAACCCGTTCTTTGATGACATTATTAACTGAATCAACCAACCCTGCATCTTGTCCTACCTCTAGACATTTGAATTATGTGAACCAATAGGTCCCCATTATTACTTAAACCAGGTTGGTTAGGGCCAATTCCGTTTTCCATGATTTGCAACTAAAAATATTCCAACTGACACAAAGGAAGAGTTGGTACGATAGGAGTAGGTAAGGCTTTGTTCTTTCTATAGAGAATGACGTCTGTTTTCCTTTTCCCACTCCCTTCCAATCCCTCTCTCAATACCACTTTGAATCATTTTAGGACCACCTCCCTACCTCTGAGAGAATTAAGTACCTATGCTTACTGGCACTCCATAAATATTTTGAAACAATATTTACCGAGTATCATTTAAAATGCACTTAATTTGTAGTTATTTATTATATTGGTATGCAAAAAAATCTTCTGTTTGCCCCTTTTGAAGGCTTATGTATATAGGTTGCATCAATGGGCTTCTATATCTTCTGACTTCCTGTTGAGCTGGGCCAGTGGAGAGCCTAGGCAGGAGATGGGAGGAAGGAGAGAGTGAATCAGGGTATTTATTCCCCTGTTTCTTCCCTCTGAGATAACTTCAGGCTGGCCATGTCCCTCAATAGATCACTACTTCTCTCAAATTGGCCTAATCTACATGATCCTGTCTCTTTTTGGGGTTCCAGTAACCTCTCTTCTTGACCTTCTGGGTCTAGATGTGGTGACAGCTACAGTGCTGCTAGTCAGTGGAACTTGTGCCATCCCTTGTGGTTCCTTTATATCCTCCTGTACCTTTGCAAATAAACCCATCTTCAGATTATCCTAGTTTATGTGTGCCATCTGTTTCTGTTGGGATTCTGACATACTTAGGGTAAAACATTAGTGAGGCCAAAGTTAGGAATTCAGTTTTGTATTGGCTAATTGATTCAGTACAGAGAAAGTTGTTTCACAGTCAAAGATTGCACTCTAAACCTAATCTATATTTTTAGTTGTATATTTTGGACTCAAGAGATAAATGAATATGAATGGCATCATTCAGATATACCATTAATTCTGAGGAAAATAATAACTTCTACTAATTTGGGTCAATGTTGTTGTCTTGACTCTAAAGGATTCTATTTTTAAAAGGAAAAAAATACCAGAAATCCGAGCATTTTACTTTTATATATACATAGACTTTCACTATTTTAATATAATTTAATATATTTTAATTAATAAACAATTTTTAGAGAGTTTTAGGTTCACAGCAAAACTGAGTGGGAAGTACAGAGTTCCCGTATACTCCCTGTCCTTACACATGCGCAACCTGTCTCACTATCACATCCTCACTAGCATTTGGTGTTGTCAGTGTTTTGGATGTTGGTCATTCTGACTGGTGTATAGTGGTGTCTTGTTTTAATTTGCAGTTCCCTAATGACATATGATATTGAACATATTTTCATATACCTACTTGTCATCTGTGTATATTTTTTGTTAAAGTGTCTGTTCAGGCCTTGGGCCCATTTTTTAATTGGGTTTTTTGTTTTCTTATTGTTGAGTTTTAAGAGTTCTTTGTATATTTTGGGTAGCAGTACCTTCTAAATGCTAAGTCATAGTTCAAAGACCATTAATATTAGAATACTGTTGACTGTGATATGTATATCTTCACTGTTATAACTGCCAATATTTGGGAGGCCGAGACGGGCGGATCACGAGGTCTGGAGATCGAGACCATCCTGGCTATCACGGTGAAACCCCGTCTCTACTAAAAAATACAAAAAAACTAGCCGGGCGAGGTGGCGGGCGCCTGTAGTCCCAGCTACTCGGGAGGCTGAGGCAGGAGAATGGCGGGAACCCGGGAGGCGGAGCTTGCAGTGAGCTGAGATCCGGCCACTGCACTCCAGCCTGGGCGACAGAGCGAGACTCTGTCTCCAAAAAAAAAAAAAAAAAAAAAAAAACTGCCAATATATTGGTTATATATTCCTTGGACTTTATTCTTACGCCTGAGGGATCAGAAAGTAAAAGCATAGGTGTGTTTCAGTACAGAACATTAGAATGGGTGGTGATAATCATGTTTCTGGCCCTTAAAAGTCTGTCTATTTAGCAAATTACTTAAGAGTACAATTAATATATATGTAGAAAACATTTCTTTTTAGATACATCCTCGAAAATTAGAGGTGGCTCTTTTTAATATAAAGAGAAAAAGCTATAATTTAAAAAATCTGTTCGGAATCCCAAGTAAGAATTATTAAAAAGACCATACATTTCTATCGATATAGATTTCAAATACAAATATAAATAACTATTAAATCAGTAGTTGTGAATAAACACATTTTTGTTGATGTCACTTTGGTTCATTTATGTTTTAATATTTTTAACAATGACTTTAGTAATTAAATAACATTCATAATTAATTTGGAATTAATTAATATGAATATTAATTAATTCATATCAATTGATTTCATATGAATATGAAATAACATTCATGTTAATAAAATAAAATTCATATTAATAAGCCTTTATACAATTAGTTTATGCAGTCTTATGAAAATATTCCTCATAAATTTTGTACTAATTTTTTTGCATTAAATGAAAACAGATGTTTCATTGTAACATAATAGACTATTATATTTCTTGTTTTTGTTATATACTTTAAGTTCTAGAGTACATGTGCACAACGTGCAGGTTTGTTACATGTGTATGCATGTGCCATGTTGGTGTGCTGCACCCATTAACTCGTCATTTACACCAGGTATATCTCCTAATGCAATCCCTCCCCCCTCCCCCCACCCCACCACAGGCCCCAGTGTGTGATATTCCCCACCCTGTATCCAAGTGTTCTCATTTTTCAATTCCTACCTATCAGTGAGAACATGCAGTGTTTGGTTTTCTGTCCTTGCAATAGTTTGCTAAGAATGATGGTTTCCAGCTTCATCCATGTCCCTATAAAGGACATGAACTCATCCTTTTTTATGGCTGCATAGTATTCCATGGTGTATATGTGCCACATTTTCTTAATCCAGTCTATCATTGATGGACATTTCAGTTGGTTCCAAGTCTTTGCTATTGTGAATAGTGCTACAATAAACATACATGTGCATGTGTCTTTATAGCAGTATGATTTATAATCCTTTGGGTACATACCCAGTAATGGGATGACTGGGTCAAATGATATTTCTAATTCAGGACATAGGCATGGGCAAGGAATTCATGACTAAAACACCAAGCAATGGCAACAAAAGCCAAAATTGACAAATGGGATCTAATTAAACTAAAGAGCTTCTGCACAGCAAAAGAAACTACCATCAGAGTGAACAGACAACCTACTGAATGGGAGAAAATTTTTACAGTCTACCCATCTGACAAAGGGCTAATATCCAGAATCTACAAAGAACTTAAACAAATTTACAAGAAAAAAAAGGTGGGCGAAGGATATGAACAGACACTCACTTCTCTTTTTTATTTTCTTTTTTTTTTTTAAAGACAGAGTCTTGCTCTGTTGCCCAGGCTGGAATGCAATGGCACAATCTCGGCTCACCACGACCTCTGGCTCCTGGGTTCAAGCCATTCTCTTGCCTCAGCCTCCCAAGTAGCTGGGACTACAGGCATGTACCATCATGCTTAGCTAATTTTTGTATTTTCAGTAGAGACAAGGTTTCACCATGTTGGCCAGGCTGGTCTCGAACACCTGACCTCAAGTGATCCTCCTGCCCAAAGATCCGCCTGCCCAAAGATTACACATGTGAGCCACTATGCCCAGCCTGCCTATTATATTTCCAATGCACAATTTAAGACTCTGACCTATAGATGGAGATGAGGCTCATGTAGATTCATGGAGAGATACCCTTAGTGGATTTATGTAAGAAGATGCGGAATGTCTTTCTAGGTGTGAGAAGAATGGTGTTGCTCATGAGGACACTTCCTCTTTCTCTCAGGTCTTGGGGCCTAGGCTAGGGCTACTTAAATGTACTAACATGTCATGTAGTAGTGGTCTCTGTCACTCTAGAAACCATTAGGCAGTGTTTGGTTTTCTGTCCTTGCAATAGTTTGCTAAGAATGA